ACTGAGGCAGAAATCACTCGAGACGCCATTGCTGAGCTTCAGGCCCAGATGGAAACTATCACTGCCGCCCTCCAAAACCTTAATGTTCAGAAACCACCACCACATGTTCGTATAGATGCTGAACAAGACCTCCGAGACGATGAAGAAGACGCAGATGATCCGGCAGCTCATGCTAATCCCTTTGCTCCTCTTCACAATAACCGTCTTGTCGCTCCAGCTAACGTCCTAGTTGCGGGAGTAGAGTATCGTTGGGAAGCAGGATTCAAAACCGAGATTCCAGAGTTCCATGGCAATTCTCAGCTGAATAACTACTTGATTGGATAGTTTCCGTGGAAGAAATTCTGGAGTTCAAAAAAGCACCAATTGGAGAAGTGTGTCCCTGTTTTGGCTATGCGCTTTTGCGGACGAGCTTCGGCGTGGTGTACACAGCTTAAGACAACTCGAGCTCGTCTTGGGAAGCCTACGATCGTGTCTTGGGATAAGCTTAAGTCGAAACTCAAGAAAATTTTTTTGCCCTACCATTACGACCAGCTTATGTTCCAGCGACTCCACACCATTAGCCAAGGCACACGTTATGTAGCAGACTATTCCACCGAATTTTTTCCTCTTCTTAACCATGTTGACATAGAGGACTCTGAGCGTCAACTTGTGGCACGATTCACTGCTGGACTTCGTCAACAAATCCAGCACACTATCAATCTTTTTCACCCTCGCACGTTGTCTGAAGCTCACCTACAAGCTTTAACTATTGAAGCTCAGACAAAATCTTTGTTCTCATCCTAGACTAATGCTCGTGTTTCTTGTCCGAATCAAGATCAGACACATCAGCATGCAACGGATGACACAGTACCTGTCAAACCGGAGACAGCCATTGTTCCGGTTCCTGACAATTGGCAAACTCGACCAACTTCACTTCGATGCTTTTCTTGTGGTGAAATAGGTCGCCGACTTGCTAATTGCCCAACTCGTAATTGACGAGGTCTCCTTCTTGACACTGCAGGTAACGACATCAAAGTAATCTATGATGAGGAACCTGAGGATACGTAGGAAGAAACAGAGGTTCTTACAGCGGGCAGTGGACCAGCGTTAATGGTACGTCGTGTGTGCCTTGCGCCGCGCGGAGCAGATGTCTACCCCCAACGACATAATTTATCATTCTAAGTGTACCTTGGAGGTAGGGTCTGCAAGTTCATAGTCGACTCGGGTAGTAGCGAAAACGTCATTGCAGAAGAAGTCGTCAGCAAACTTCACTTACCAACAGAACTACATCCCTACCCTTATAAATTGGCTTGGTTGGATCAGAAAACCGATTTACTTATCACTCGACGAGCATTGATTTCTTTTTCGGTGGGTGATTCATATAAAGATCAGATTCATTGAAGTGGCTCCTATGGATGCTTGTCATCTCCTCTTAGGGCGTCCTTGGCTTTTTGATCGTCGAGATCAGCATGATGGCTTTCACAACACTTATACGTTTCGTTTCAGCAATCGGAACTTTATACTGCAACCATCTGGGCCTTAGAACTCGCCTCCACCGTCTTCCCCGATGCTCATTCTTCAACGCAAGCCATTCGAAGAAACTTTGCTGGAAGAAGGACGTGTTTTCCTCCTTGTCAACACTGCGACTTGTCTCTCCCCACCGAAGATCCCTCCTGAGTTCAAACCTCTGCTACACGAGTTCAGTGATGTCTTTCCTGAAGATTTGTCGACGGGCCTTCCTCCTCTTTGTGACATTCAACATCGCATCGATTTCGTGCCTTCCCAACAGAGCTCATTATTGTATGAGTCCCACTGAGTACGAAGAATTAAGAAGACAGGTTGAAGAGCTTGTTGTAAAAGGTTTCTTATGTGAGAGTTTGAGTCCTTGCGCAGTCCCAGCTTTACTTATACCAAAAAGGACGGTTCTTGGCGTATGTGCGTTGATAGCAGGGCTATTAACAAAATTACAGTCCGTTAACTTTTTCCTATTCCTCGCCTTGACGATCTGCTTGATCAAATCAGTTCAGCATCTATTTTCTCCAAACTGGATTTAAAGAGTGCCTACCATCAGACTCGTATTCGCCCGGGAGATGAATGGAAGACAGCTTTTAAAACAAGAGAAGGACTTTTTGAAAGGCTTGTCATGCCGTTTGGTTTATCTAGTGCTCCGAGCACTTTTATGCGTGTCATGAATCAAGCCCTTCGACCATTTATTGGCAAGTTCTTTGTCGTTTATTTCGATGACATCCTCATATTTAGTTTGAATCTGAGTGACCATCTTGTTCACCTTCGCGAAATTCTGCAATACCCAGACGAGATAAGCTGTTTGGTACACTAAAAAATGCGAGTTTGGTTCATCCCAAGTTCACTTTCTGGGGTATATCGTCTCTGCCAGTGGACTTTCTGTCGATCCTGCCAAGGTGGAGGCAATTCAATCGTGGTCACTACCTGCTACTCTCACTGAAACACGGAGCTTCCATGGCCTTGCTTCATTCTATCACCGCTTCGTACCACAGTTTAGCAGTCTCATGTCTCCTCTTACAGATTGTATGCAACGAGAGAGTTCTTTGTGTGGACACCGGAAGCTACAGATGCTTTTCACGCCATCAAACAAAATCTTATCTCTGCACCTGTCTTGGCTTTACCAAAATTTTCACTAGTCTTTGAGTTGCATTGTGATGCTTCTAAAACAGGAATTGGCGTTAATCTTAGCCAACGCGGTCGTCCTATTGCATTCTTTAACGAGAAGTTAATCGGAGCTCGTGCGCGCTCTAGTACTTATGATGTTGAGTTCTATGCGGTCGTTCAAGCTATTAAACATTGTCGTCATTATCTTTGTCATAAAAAATTTGTTCTTTTCACTGATCATGATGCTCTGAAGCATCTCAACAGTCAAGATAAAGCCTCCTCACGACATGCCTCTTGGGTGGCTTACTTTCAACAATTCACATTTTTCATCAAACATACGTCAGGCGTTTCAAATCGCGTTGCCGATGCCATGAGTCGACGCCGTGCTCTTCTTTCGGTTTTATATGTCTCTGTTCCTGGCTTCAGTTCCTTTGCTGATTTATACCCGACTGACGCCTTCTTTAGCAGAGTATTGATTGATGTACAAAATGGTGAGTCCCGTGATTATACACTCCACGAAGGTTTCTTGTTTCGCGGGGTTCGTCTTTGCGTTCCAGATTGTAGCATGTGGCTACAACTTATCTCTGAGACGCATGGAGAAGGACATGTCGGACGTGACCGAACTTTGCATCTCCTCGCTAGTTCTTATTTCTGGCCAACGTTGCGTCGAGATGTCGAAAGATTTGTGGAGCGTTGTGTTGTGTGCCAGCGTTCGAAGGGTCATGCCACCAATGCCGGTCTCTATCTTCCGCTTCCTGTGCCGACACAGCCTTGGTCTGATATCAGCATGGACTTTGTTATGGGTCTTCCTACAACTCAAAAAGGATTTGATTCCATCTTCGTCGTTGTTGATCATCTCTCTAAATGGTGCACTTTATTCCTTGTAAGAAGACTACTGACGCCCTGCAGGTTGCTACATTGTTCTTTCGAGAAGTATATCGTCTCCATGGCCTGCCTACTTCTATAGTCTCGGATCGCGATTCTCGTTTCTTATGACACTTTTGGCGTTCCCTTTGGAAGATGTTAGGTACCAGTCTAGATATGAGCTATGCTTACCATCCGCAAACTGATGGTCAGACAGAGGTCACTAACCGTTCATTGGATAATTTGTTGAGATGTCTCGTTGGTGACTCTATCAAGTCATGGGATTCAAAACTTCCGCAAGCAGAGTTTGCACATAATCATGCTTTGAATAGAAGTTCTGGTATTAGTCCTTTTCAAGTGGTGTATGGCATGATCCCGCGTGGTCCTCTTGATCTTACTGGATCAATCTCGATGCCATGGTGTTGCAGCCGACTTCATTGAAGACATTCATACCATCCACCAAAACGTGGTTACTAATCTGCAGAAATGAGCCTCAACCTACAAGACCGCAGCGGATGCTCATCGCAGGCGTCTAGTTTTTGAAGTAGGAGATAAGGTTTGGGCATTTTTTACTAAAGATAGGATGTCAGCTCATGCGTATAACAAGTTTAAAGCAAAGAAGATTGGTTCTTTTGAGGTTCTGGAGCGCATTAATGACAATGCCTACCGCCTGCAACTTCCAGCTCACATAAACACTTCAAACGTGTTTAATGTTCGGTATCTTTCACGCTTCGTTCCACCTGATCCGGTGCTCGATTCGTGCAATCGGGTCAATCCAATTTCATTCAAGCACATTTTTCACCTATTCACTATACACAAGTTGACTCATAAACTAAACAATACCGTTGTGCATTACTCCTAGTTCGAATCCAATTGCCACGATTTACCCATGAGAGCTCAAGCCAGATTTTACCTGCAACTATATACTCGCCGACAGAATGCTAGACCTCGGATTCCGATTTGAGAATGGAGGAGTAGGGGAGGAGCTGGGAGCTTCGGCGACAGAGGAGGGAGGAGTGGAGGAGCTGCAGGAGGAGAGGGGGAGCTGTGGGGAGATTCGATTTCATTAATTGAGCTTTATTTATCTTTTTTAATACAATGTCCCAAACCAAACCAATCCCCATCCGAAACCAGATTCGAAACCATACCCAATTCCAAATCCTGAATCCAACCCCTTTCGGTTTCCCTACCCATTTAAACGAAGGTCTCTTTAGTCTTTCAACATTACATTAATGAATGATGGGTATAGGGAATTTTATGGTGTATAAGAGATTGATTCATGCCATATTAGGCAAGAGAGATGATGTCCCACCTTAATACGCAAAATAATCTGTGACATGTTTTAAAACTAATTTTCTTGGGATTAAACAATTCTTGTTAAAGGGATCAAACGCTCCTAAATCAAAAACCATGGATCTTACCAAATCTAATCCTTGTATAATAAAAAGCTCCTTCTATTCAGATCTAAAGAACACAAGAGAATAAGAAACATAGTTCTAACTTCTAAGTGTTTAACTCTCAGTTTCATTATGTCCTCAACAACAACATATTCTTTGCAATTTCTAATCCAACGGTTTCAAGATTACAAATCTCATCATAATCTTCAACATTTTCCTGCAAAATCTTCAGCTGTCTTAGTTTGTATATACCAAGAACAAGGAGGAGATGGAAACGAGCTACGTGTGATCTTGACCAAACGCTCATCCACTCTCTCTTCTCATCCCGGTAAGAACAAAATCTCTCTCACTCTCTCTCACTAAAAAAAATGATTCATTTTCTTTAATTTAACGTGTGAAAATGGTTTTTCATGAAAAAATGGAGATCTCATCTTTTTTTTTAAAAAAAACTTTTAATGGTTAAAGGAGAAGTAGCATTGCCTGGAGGGAAAAGAGACCAAGAAGATGCAGATGATATAGCTACCGCGTTGAGAGAAGCTCATGAAGAAATCGGTTTAGATCCTTCTCTTGTTACAGTCGTCTCTGTTCTTCAACCATTTGTTAACAAGGTAAAAATTGAAGTAAAGCATCTAAGTTCAAGTTACTTGACTATTATTAAACTATCAGTCTCATCGGGGTGTTTGCAGAAGGGAATGTCAGTTGTACCAGTTATCGGATTTTTAAGCGACAAGAAAGCATTCAAACAGTTACCAAATCCAGCTGAAGTAGAAGACATCTTTGATGTTCCATTAGAGATGTTTCTTAAGGTAATATAACCATGTTTTTGAGATAAATTCTGCCACCAAGTTTTTAATTATGTTTTAATGTTTCTATCTGTTTAGGACAAGAACAAGAGAGCAGAAGAACGAGAGTATGAAGGAGAAAGATATCTTCTTCATTACTTTGATTACTATACCAAAGATAAAGAGAGAAAATTTGTTATATGGGCACTCACTGCTGGTATTCTGATCAGAGTTGCCTCCATTGTTTATCAGAGATCTCCTGAGTTTCAAGAACTCAAGCCAAGCTTCTGGAAACAACCTTCTTGAAATGTATCTGATTTAAAAACATGAAACTTATCTGTTGTAATAAACGAGAAACAAAGCATGTGTTTAAATATCTTTCAGGAATCTTCTTGTCTTTACTCTTTAGCTGAAAACCTCATAGAACTTCTCTGTAACGACAATTCCTGAATCCATAGACTCAAGTGGATCTTTCCTAAGACGGTGTCTTAAGCAATTCGGTATAACAATACCAACATCTTCTGCTGTCACATGATCTCTTCCCTTGAGTGCAGCAAGTGCTCTTGCTGCTCTGTTCGTCACAATATCACCTCTCAATCCATCAACGTCTAGCTCAGCACAGACCCTTGAGATCTTCACTTTCAAATCCTGATCAATCTCAACTTCAGAAAGATTGCTTCTCGCACTTGTAATCTGCTCCTGAAGCTTCATCTGCTCCTCTAGATACGACTCTCTAAACTCCTTTGGGTTACTATCAAAACGAGCTCTCTCTTCCACAATCTTGACTCTCAGCTCAGCGTCTCTAACCGTCCCTACTTGAGCATGCATACCAAACCTATCAAGAAGCTGTGGTCTAAGCTCTCCTTCCTCTGGATTCCCTGAACCAATGAGGATAAACCGAGCCGGATGAGAGATGGATATCCCTTCTCTTTCAACAGTGTTCCAACCTGAAGCAGCTGAATCAAGAAGAACATCAACCAAATGATCATCCAAGAGGTTAACTTCATCCACGTAAAGAATCCCTCTGTTGGCTTTAGCTAGCAGCCCTGGCTCAAAGGCCTTAACACCTTCAGTTAGGGCCTTTTCAATATCGATAGTTCCACAGACTCTATCTTCAGTAGCACCTAAAGGAAGATCAACCATGTTGATCTTGGTTTCAGTGACAGCAAGCTCTTCACCTCTTTGAACTCTTTCTCTTACTTCCTTCCCCATAAACTCAGGATCTCTCGGGTCTGAGTTATAGGGATCACCGGAAACGACTGTGATCTCGGGAAGTAGATCAACTAAAGATCTAACGGTTGTTGATTTACCAGTTCCTCTATCCCCCATGATCATCACACCACCTATCTTAGGGTCAATGACGTTTAACAAAAGGCATAGCTTCATCTCATCTTGTCCAACTATAGCAGCAAAGGGATACACTGGTCTTGCACTTTCCTTTGAATCAATCTTCTTTGCCTAATAAAGCAAACAAAAAAAAAAGCTAAGATCTTTAGCACTACATTGTAAGCATTTGATGATTCTTATGTCACAAATCATTCAAAAATTGATACTTTTAAAATTCTGTGAAAACATATGATGATGAGAAAGTCATACTTGTTCTACAGAATTGATCCCAGTGGCGACATTTGTAACAAAGACACGGTGACGAGATATGTTCTTCTTTGGCTCTGACTGTATACTTCTGTATAACTTTCTTACAGAAGCGTTACCTGCAAAGCAATGAAAACGCACAATTAAAGCTTCAGTGTTGAAAATTGACGGACTTGAATATGTGTAGATGTAAGAATGGAGGGTTTTATGAGAGGTTTTTAGGGCAGATTGGGAACCTGGTCGGAAGCAGAGAGGAGACGTTGAAGGAGTTGAAGAAAGACGAGAGCAAGACAAGATTGAGGAAGGAGATGTTCCGAGAAGAGAGACCATCGTTAGTGAGCTTTTAAGCTCTCTCTGGTTTCGCTACTTTCTCTTCGAGCATTCGTTTCTCTTTTGGATAAGGAGATTGATATATAGTATCATAGTAGTAGAGTTTTCTGGTAGAGAGTACTCTAAAATAACAATAATATTGTTAAATAATTATCTATATTATTAAAGCACAAACATCACAACTTCTTGTAGTTAAATTTTTTAAATTGAACCTCATATTATTAATTTTTGTAGTTAATGGGGATGCGGAACGTGAATAGAGTGGAGTCGGCGTTGCATTCGGAGTTGGAAGCGCTGCGGTGGGCAATGGAGAACATGCTTCAACATTCGCCATGTCAGAGCTTTGGGACGGATAGCAAGGAATTGATAGCAATGCTCAAGGATCCCCATGGATGGCCAAGCTTTTCAACGGAATTAGAGAGGATCTCGACGCTGAGGATTTGCTTTCCAGAGTTTAAGATATCTTATGTACCTCGATCTTTAAATGTTGTGTCCGATCACCTAGCTAAGACTGCCCGATCCTTTTATCGGGAACTCATGTTTATTGGTTGTTCTATTCCGGTCTGGATTTCCAGACCACCTCAAGCTTGAGTAATAGATCAGCCGTTCGTTGAAAAAAAAAAAAAAAAAATCTAACTATGATATTTTATGGATATCTATCTTTTTGAAAGTTACTAATATTTTCGTATCTTAATAATTAATAAGAAGATAATTATACTTCACGTTTAGGAAATTAGTCATATATCCGCATTCAACTATTAAATAACATTTAAGTTAAATATATACATTCTTATTCTTTAGGAAATTCCCAGTATATTTTTTCTTTTTAAACAGAAAATCTCTGTTACAATTAAAATTTTTGATTTATTATTAATTATAAAGAAAAAGTTATAAATAAGAATCCAAATAAATTTACTAGGATACAAAAAAATATTTACTTAAAAGTAAAATACTAAAAGTCAAAGAATCTTTATAATATTTGGTTGTATTATTACAAATTATGCTTGATGTTTTTACACTTAAAAATTTTGTGGGTTATTCTATGAGGTGTACAAAATAATTATCAAATAAAAATAAATTGAAAAAAATATTTGATAATTTTCATTATAACATATTAACATAAACATTAATCGACATGAAACAAATTAAAAATATTAACTATACCAAATTTCAGTTTTAAATCTTTCAAAATAAAAATAACCAGTTATACTGTTTTGATTTCCATATGAACATAATTATTATAATATTGGATTTCATATCGGCTACCCATCGGCTTAAACGGTTAGTTTCAAATTTTAGCAATTTTTGTGGATTGTATAGGACTTTTAAATAATAGATTCATTAAAATCAAAACTGAGATATATCGAATCCTCGGGTTTACCAGTTCGACCGCAGGTTCAAATCAGGATTAAAAGCGATGATTTGAATGTAAAATGTTTTAAATAGTCAAAGTTCTTACAAATTAATAAACATTTGTAACATTTTTAAGTGCGGGTCAAAATCATTGAAATTTAATAAAAATTAAATTTATTTATTTTATAGAAAATTTATATACAATATACATCTATAAATATAATTATATTTTCAATATTTTAAAAATTTATAGTGGATTCAAATCTGAATATCCCGACCTAAATTTCACTATCCAATCCGTAAAATCACTATATGATCCGGATCCCCAGATATGTGTTTATTTGGAGCAGATCGGAACGTACCCAAACTAGAAAACAGATAGCAGATATAAGTAACTAAACTCTCACCTAATCATCAAAACGCAAACTGTTAAGATTAATTTTAATTTGCATTTCGAACAAACGTACATAATTAGTGTTTTCACTGCACGGTTATATCTACCTAATACAATGCTGAACATTATCAATAAAAAAACAGTTTTGATATCTTTCTTTAAATATAAAATAGAATTAGACAAACTCAAAACTATATAAAACTAAATTATATAGAATACATCCAAAAAATAAAACCCACGCAAGTGTGCTGGTCATAATCTAGTAAATCAATTAAACTTGATACATAAAATATAAAGATAAAACTAAATAAACAGAAAAAAAGGCAACAAAATATTTTAAACATATATATACAAAGGTAAACAATAATATAATATTCAAAAAACTTTTCCAACTATAATAATAATAATAAATAATAAAAATAATAGATTATATTTTGTTGGTCATTTGGCAATATTTAGTCACTAGGTGATTATCTGAGCGCATGCGCAAAATAAATTTATATACTAATAATTATTGAATACTAACTTTTGATCTTTCAACCATAACATCATAAGTTTCTAATGTATAGTCGATGGATCATCAATATAAGGTTGTTGAGTATCTGATCGTCAGTATTTTGAAACCCGACCCGGACTCGCGATTGAACCGATAAACCCGGTGACCCAAGATAAATCTGGTTTTGGTTTTGTGAAAAAATCCAATATCTAAAAACCTGCAAAAAACTACTAAAACCTGGAACCCAGTTACCGGTTGAAACACTTGTTGAACCAATAAATAAATTTTAGTTCTTTTTTTAGTTTTAATTATGTTTTGATTGAACTATTTTATTCATATATAATACCAATTACACTATTTATTTATGATTTTTAGATTTTTATGAAGTTACTATTCCACGGGATGAAAATGAAGTGAACGACAGTAGAGAGAACCAAAATTAATTGATGTAATTTGGTGTTAGTTTATTTTCTGATCAATAATTTATTACAATTATGTTTTACGTTTGATTTTGGATTTGAAGTTGAATTCTATTATTCACATTAGACATTTAAATATTTATGAATTTTAAGTTTAATATTTTTTGTTAGATGACTCTTAAGTTCTTAATTTGTTACAGAAAAATACTTTAAATTTTGTTAAGTATATAAACTAAATATAGAACCTAAAGTTAAGTATATACTAAATGATTTTTAAAACATAAAATATATAAATTTCCCAACTATTATTTTATGTTTTACAAAATATTGAAAAAATACTTAACTTTAGCTTCTACATTTTTATTTTTATAGGTAATATATTATTATATAATAAAATTAATTAATTTATAACCCAGGGTTCATCCGCAAACGACCCAATGACCTGGCGACCCAGAAAGTCGTCTGGTTCAGTGTCTGGGTCGGGTTTCAAAACATTGCTGATCATCTTAAAATTTTATTATATTGAACTTATTTAATTTCACTGGACTTCGATGATATGGATGTTACAATTCACTATCTCACTTTAGTATAAAAAAATTATATTTTCTGACATGATATGATCAAATAGAAATGGACATTAATTATATATACAAATTATTTATTCACGTTATTATTATTATTTTTTATTTACATATTATACAATAATTATTATATTGAATAA